CTACCAAAGCTTCTTTGTTCTCATTTAGTACTTTTAAAACTACTTTAAAAAGGAGTGAAAAATTGTTAATTGCTAAGAGAAAAATCAAACTTTCTTTTTAAAAAGAATGGGAACAAATAAAGACACATAATACCTCATAATGAAAAAGCCACTGCAAATCTCTCAGTGAATTATAATTCATAGAGCTCTACTTGCCAATAATTTTTAAAATTCATGTTCTCAAAAACTAAATCAACTAACAAGTAGCTAGAGAACTTTCCAGAACATGATGACAGACACTAGAAATCTGTTGTTCTTTCTTTTGTTTTACTGTGATTTGGGTAAGGTTTACAGAGTAAATTCATTGTACATTCAACAATTCATACACATTTTGTTTCATAACATTGACTGCAATCCCCACAACGCAATAGCTTTCTTTCCACTTCCGCCCTGTGGTTACCTTTTCCCTGTGTCCTTCTTTCCCATGCATTTCTGCCATCTGGGCTTTCTCTCTGCACCAATGCTGACCTTCTAATCTCCCATGAATGACTGTTCTAAGGAGTAAAATTGGTGTAATTGTTTATCTCATAGGCCTGACTATTGCTGGGCTCAAGGTAAGCATGAGAATGAGTTCAACTCCAGCCCTGAGGTGACCAGGAGTCATAGTCTTAGGGCTTTCAACAGGATCTATCAGACCAGTAAGCTTGGTCTTTTCTGTGATTTTGAGTTCTGCTCCACATTTTTCTCCCACTCTATGCAGGATCTCCAGTAGTAATCCCTTTCTGAATGGTTGGCAGTGGTAGCCAGGTAACATCTATCTAGTTCGTCTGGTCTCAGGGTTATGCAGGTTGAGATTCCCATGGTCCACTAGTTCTTTGAACTAATTGTTTTCTTGCATCTTTGATTTTCTTCACTCTTCTTTGCTCCGGACAGGGAGAGAGACCAATTGTTGCATCTCAGGTGATTGCTCACAAGCTTTCAAGAATCCAGATGCCACTCCCCAAAGTAGCATGTAGAACAATGTTTTTGTGTAATACATTATGCTGATTGAGCTTGATGGCCCCCATGATCATGGTCCTGAACCCATGGGCCCAGAGACTCATTCTCTCAAGGTGTTTGGCTGTGGCTAAGAAGTTATAACTTTGCTCCCTTGTTAGCTCTATTATATATATGAACATTCTTTTTTTTTTGTTCCATGGGTCAATGCATTTTTTTTTTTTTTT